TCCAGAGAAATTTGTCCTACTGGTTGGAGTCTCAGTGGTTTATAAGAACCAGTGGTTTTGGAGGATGGCAGGGTCCCTATTCACTTTTACATCACTGTTGCAAAGCCAGCTTTCTTTCTGCATGCCTCTTCCCCTGCCCTGCTTTGTTAGTCAATTTGCATATGATCATTGCAATTTAATAACATTGAATGATACTTCACTGCTGATTTTATTGCCAACTACCCTTGGAACGTAAGCCTAGATGCAAGTAGTAAGGAGAGGGCAGCCAAGGCCTCTAGATTGCTAGTTACTTGGCTGGGAATCCCATTCATATTGGGAAACAGATTTTTAAAATAAATTTGCCACTGGAAGCACTGCCATCCTTTTGTGAAGCTGTGTCAATAATCATAAAGTTTCATAATCATGCCCCCAACCCTCAGCCAAGCTAACAAATATTTAGGCATCAGCATATCTTCACGATGCCACCTTCTGTTGACCGCACGGGCTTCTCATGTTGTTTGGGTTGGCAGTGGAACACAATCTTCTGTTTTATATAATGAGGAACATCAGAGAAGTCCTTTGTGCTTACCCTGTCAGAGTGTGTGCAAGACCTCTTGTGTACCCCATCATTTTCGCTGCAGTCGAAGCTAGCGAACATTTCTGTGGCCTAGTAAATATTTTCTAGCTATTGGCAAGGTTTTTTTTTTTTTTCCAGTGCCATGTTGTTCCAGGCCAGGATTATAATGACCCAGCTTTGCTTTGGTTTAAGATGAATTTTACAAATATATGTATGTGTTGGGACTACACTATTTTCAGAGAACACAGACATGGGTGTAACAGGGTCTGATGCAATATAGTGCTGTATATACCCAATCAGGCTGACGAGGCTTACCCTTTGCAGACTGTGCCAATAAGCAGTCGAGGCTTGTTTTGATCTGCAGAAATATACAGAATTCTCTCATTCTGAGAAGGCTTGTTGCTAGCATGTGACATCATAGAAAGCCCTTTTTTTCTGCTTTGCTTTGGAATATCAAAGAAAAAGTCCGTGGAACATAGTTGGCCACTTAGCTTTATTATTCATAGTGCTCCCTCCCTTTTTTTTTTTTTTTTTTTAACAGTGTTCAATGTTAGCGTCAGGTGTTGGCTGCCTTCCTGGGGGAACAGATTGCTGTGATGTAAACACAGCTGGAAACTGACCACATATTGTTTTTCTTTCTTTTAAGAAATGAAAGAGGCATTTATAGAAAGACTGCAGAACACAGTCCTGTCCAGAATTACTTTATAGATTTATTCCTCCAAGTTGGGTTAATGATTAATGTCACGCCTAGGTGTCCACATAGACCCATGTCCCTTCTTCCTTCCCGAAGCTGCAATTTCCTGGAAACAATAAACTTGCAGAGGTTTGCTGCCATCTGAACAAGAGGAGGGGTGGAGTCTGTTCAGTTCTGTTTCTTCTTGCTGAAGTGTGGTCTTTGGAGCTAAGTGAAGAATGACTTCTGTGGGGTTTTCCTCTGCTGGCCTTCCTTGCAGCCTTGGAAACCTCATCAGAGTCGCCTCTGCTGAACTCTCATTGTGCAGCTCTGTCACAGATGGGCAAGTAAGTGAATTACAGAATGTTGCTCTGTGTGCTTGTGATTTTTATTTTATTTGATCTACTTTTTAATGTGAAGGCAGAGTATTTTCTAACACTGTAATTCAACTAGGTTTTGTGTCTTCTGGATCTGTTTTTTTTTTTTTTTCTTGTTGTTCTAAGGAGTTGGTATATTTGGAAATACTAGGTTTAAGACATACAGATGTCCAACTTATATATAGTCAAGGGTTTAGAGTCTGGAGATAGGAGGCTGGCAATTTCAACAAGGAGGCAGTAAATTCAGGGTAAGAGTGATGTTGATTTGGGGATTAAGGGAGGTGGCTGGGTGTAGAAGTGATCTGGGGAGAGAATCAAGGGCCTTCTCCCACTTGGAAGACTTTATGCTTATTTTGATCTTTTATTCCTTTGGTGTCTTTGCCAAAAACTTTCAGTCTTCTTTACTCTTTCTTTGTATAGATGTTTCAATGATTTAAGTTATGGTGTAATAGTTAATTGCTGTTAAGAATTGCTACTAATTAATTGCTGTATTAAGGTTTTTCAAAGGGGGTTTCTTAACAAAGAGCTATTTCTCTTTACATCTGTCTTAAAAGAATTGAGTTAGAAATGAGGAAGAGAAAGATGTAGGAATTTAAGAGTAAATTCTGCTTTTGGTTTGCCTAAGTGGCAACTGGAGACCCATTTTCATAGGCAAAATATATGTTACTTTAGTTTTTGTTTTCTTTGAGAGAACTGTAGGATTACCTGAATTATCTGTCATCTGTACTGGAATCTGCATGTAGTTATCTTTACAGTTATCTAAGCAAGTTGAATCTGTCATTCATTCCTCACTGAAGAATTTCACTGAAAATAACATTCCCTGTCTGTTTGGCTGATGCCCATGGATGAGAATTTTTGACATTAGGCTATACATCTATTTGGATTCTCATAACTGGGTCCAGCACCTAGCATAGCTCCTGGTACATAGGGAAGCTCTATGTAATGTCAATAACTGACTAATTTAGTAACATTCCTAACAGCTGTTTGAGTTCCAAGAGCAGGAAAGTGAATGGTGAGTTTTGAACCTTATAAAATACATAGGTAAACCCAAATGAGGAGAGAATTGAGAAAGTCTGTTATTCTGAAGGTGGTCCTAAAAGGCTTTCTCTAGGCTGGTTACTGCCAAGCGTATTTTTTTTCCTGGCTTTATACGGCTTGGCAGAATTGATCTAATTTTGGATTCTGAAGGAAGAGAAAGAAAAAATTTCATTATACATTATATTGGGCTGTGATAATGTGGCCAGTTCTCTTCATGAATTTTTCAAATAACTTTTAAAGAAATGAGACATTACTGATTGTTTCCCTCTATGAGTCTAATTAACAGCTAGCTACTTAAATGTTCTTTCATATATATTATCTGCTTTGATTTTCAAATCAGTCCAGGGAGGTGGGTATTGATGTTACTTCCTTATTTTACAATTGAGAAAAGTAAGAGAGTCAGATGAAAAGTGATTCCAGAAGTTGCTTGGTGCATAGAAGAATCAGTCAGCTGGGTATTTTAAAACTCAAGATCCCATGTTCCTCTCAACTGCTCTCTCTCTGGTCATCTCTAAACATCTTCTATTGCAGGATAGCAGCAAGAACTCGCACCTGGGTGTCAGGAGACCTGGATTCTGATTCTGAATGGGTCACTGCTGGCCTCTGTGATGTGAAGCAAGTCACTCACATCTTTAGATGTCAGTTTTCTGCAAGGAGGTTACTTTGGTTGATTTATTTTCTTTTCTTTTTTCTTTCTTCCTTTTTTTTTTTTTTTTTTTTTTTGAGACAGAGTCTCACACTGTCACCCAGGCTGGAGCACAATGGCACAATCTCGGCTCACTGCAACCTCCACCTCCCGGGTTCAAGTGATTCTCCTGCCTCTACCTCCTAAGTAGCTGGGATTACAGGTGCCTGCCACTACGCCTGGCTAATTTTTGTATTTTTAGTAGAAATGGGGTTTCACTATGTTAGCCAGGCTGGTCTGAAACTCCTGACCTCATGATCTACCCACCTTGGCCTCTTAAAGTGTTAGGATTACCGGTGTGAGCAACCATGCCCAGCCACTTTAGTTGATTTCCTGTTTCTTTGCAGTTTCAGGATCTATCCAGGGTCATATCCAGGACTTGTATTATCTCTGAGTGGTCATCTGCAATGTGGAGAAGAGGTGGGAAAGGAGGTAGCATTCTTTCCAACCATCTTATCCAGCTCTCCCTTGGTTTCCCCTGCCAAGTGCAAAGAGACACAGGATCTCCTTGGACAAGGAAAACCTCAGGCCCTTGTTTGCTCTGATCTGCTTCCTGAGCTGGCATTTCTCAGTCTGTTCTTTTTTACGCATCAACAAAAGTATTTGAGCCAAATACTCTTGTAATTTCAGCACAGGTATGAACAACATCAAGTTACATTTCCATCAGGCCCAAGAAGTGCTAACCTTCTTGCATAAGCCTATCTGCTATCCTAATCCTTTTTGGAACATGGCAAATGTAAATAAGTATTGCTCTATCCCTCTCAGGTTTTTCAAATTACAGCAGGTAGTTGAGAAAAGAGGAGGGCAGAACAGTGGAAAAGTATTTTTTATTCTGTTTCCATTGCTAACTCTCATAGTTGTTAACAGATCAATTTAGAAAATAGTGGGATACTGAGATAAGGGTGACTACCCTTTACTGACACTAAAAAGGAAAAAAAAAAAGCTGTGACCAAGTGTCTGCCATCACGATTATAGTGTAAAAAACAAAAAGGCCAGGCGTGGTGGCTCATAGGCTGGGTGTAGTAATCCCAGCACTTTTGGAGTCCAAGGCCGGCAGATGACCTGAGGTCAGGAGTTTGAGACCAGCCTGCCCATGTTGAAACCTTGTCTCTACTAAAATACAAAAATTAGCTGGGCATGGTGGCACACATCTATAATCTCAGCTACTCGGGAGGCTGAGGCAGGAGAATCGCTTGAATCTAGGAGGCAGAAGTTGCAGTGAGTCGAGATTGCACTACTGCACTCCAGCCTAGGTGACAGAGTAAGACTGTCTCAAAAAAAAAAAAAAAAAGAAAAAGAAAAAGAAAAAAAAAGAAAAAAAGAAAAGAAACAAAAAAGAAAAGAGAAAAAATAATTTGCAATGACAAACTCTCAGTGGAGAGAAAGGGTAGAACTTCCTAGGAAAAGAGAGTTGGCATTCTTATCCTGATGTTTGCAGTCTGGACTGATGAAAAACCTCATTCATGACCACAGTCTGTATTTGGGAAACTCCGTTCTACCTGGTACTTGGGTTCTCAACACTCACAGACTTTCTGGGTAGGAACTGGTGCTTTGAATGGAGACATGAGAGCTGCATGCGCAGGTCAGCTCTTTTCCTTTGCTGCAGTTTCCGACTCGGCTCTCTTGCTATGATATAGTCCTTAACTTTTTCCTTGTATCTTTCCCCCGTAGGTAAGAAGCGAAACCCTGGCCTTAAAATTCCAAAAGAAGCATTTGAACAACCTCAGACCAGTTCCACGTAAGTTGGCAAGATCATCATCTTAATACAAATCCTTATACTTTACAGGTTTCCCCTGGGGATTCAGTTTTGGACTTTAAAAGAGGCCTTTAAGGGGCGAGCCATTTACTCAATGTTCTGAGATCGGAAATAATCATACCTCATCAGTCAGTCTATTTTGAGTGGGTGGTTTTGAACTCAGCATCTTAAGTAATTGGTTGAGTCAGAATTGAATGTCAGATATATTTGGTGGATGGGGTTCTACATAAGGCCAGAAAGGCCCCTGGATGTGGACTTCCTTGCCTTTTCCCTGTAGATTGGAGCAAACAAGCAAATCCCTGTGAAAGCCACTACTATAAAACTTGGGTTGAGATGGAAAGATGGTATTTGGTGAGGACCCACATCCTGACACTTAGATCCTGTCTTATATAAACAGAAGGAAGAATGAGGTAAAGGAACACTTTTTTATTAGCTGAGGTTTTGGCCCAAATCCCTAAGTCAGTTCAAGTCCTAGTGAGGGACACCGTGTGAAGGACATTCTCTCTGTGAACCTCCTTTTTGCTTTTTTTTTTCTGTCTCTTTGTGTGGTGGGAAAGGTACTTCCTGTCCAGCTGGATGTACAACCGTGTATCAAGGCATCTGCATGAAAGAAATGGAAATTCCAAGGAAACAAATCACAATAGAGGTGTTAGAGAGACAGGGCAAGGGCAAAGAGAGGGCATCCCAATGGAGAAGTGAGTTGTTAAGGCTTTTGTTCAATGTCTACAAAAGTGCCTCCCTTTGTAGTGGGTTTTGATCTTAGCTGTGATCTGCTATCAGAAAGTCCACCGCCTGTTGTTGGAATGTGCTCTGAAATGGGATCATGTCTGTTGTAAGTCTTTGTTGAAGCCATTGGTCCTTGCGTTGCCTGAAGCAGTATACAGAAACTTTCCACTGGAGAATTTTTAAGGACAAAGTAGAGTGGACGGCTATTCTTCAGGGTTCTGGACTGTAGCTAAAGAGTCTAAACTCAAGACAGAATGTTCCTTTCATTAGAATCTGCAGGAGGAAGATCTTTCTTCCCATACTTGCTGTCAATTGGCTTTTTTTTTTTTTTTTTTTTTTTTTTTAACCTGTAGAACTTTGAACTGTGTGATTGTTATTGTTTCTTCTCTGACTGGTTTCTCATGAGCTTAGAGTCTAATATGTGGCCTACTTTTACTACCTGAAAAGAAATTTATGGGATATACTTTTAAAACTTTTTATTTTGAAATAATTGTAGACTAACAGGAGGTTGCAAAGAAATGTACAGAGAAGTCCCCTAAATCTCTTTCCCCAGGCCATGCCAGACTACCCTCCATCCCACGTTAACATCTTACACAACTATAGTACATTCAAGATCAAGAACGTGGCAGTCGTGGGAATCCTAGAACTTAGTCAATTTTGCCAGCTATGCAAGCATTCACTTGTGTGTGTGTGTGTGTGTGTGTGTGTGTGCATGTGTATAGCTCTATAAAGCTTATGACATGTGTCTTGCCTAAGTACTGTTATTATCAAGATACTTCACTACAGCAACATTACAAGACTCTTTCATGTTATCCTCTTATAGTCATACCCACTTCTCCCCATCTCCGTCCTTAATCCCTGGCAACCACTAATCTGTTCTCCTTTGCCATTTTGTTATTTCATGATTGTGATATAAATGAAATAATGCATGTTTTTCTGAGTTTTGTTTTTGGTTCAGCGTAACTTTATTGAGGTTCACTTAAGTAATTGCATGCATTGATAGTTTGTTCCATTTTATTGCCAAGTACCCATTTATGGTATGGTTATACCACAGTTTGTTCAACACTTCAGCCTTTGAAGGAGATATGGGCAGTTTTTCATTTTTGACTATTCTGAATAAAGCTGTTATGATCATTCATGCATAAGTTCCTGCATGAGAATAAGTCTTCATTTCTCTGATATATATGCCCAATAGTACAATTGCTGGGTTATATGGTAATCCCATCTTTAGTTTTGAAAGAACTGCTGAACCATTGGCCAGAGTAATTGTGCCATTTTATGTTCTCATCAATAATGTCTGAATAATCCAATTTTTCTGGATCTCTGCCAGCAATTGGTTTTATCAGTATTTTTCATTCAAATGTATAGTGACATATATGTAGTTTTAATTTGCAATTTCTCTATTGGCTAATGCAAATCTTTTGCCCATTGCCTAATTAGATTCTTTTTATTGTTTACTTTTGAGAGTTATTTATATGTTCTGGTTACAAGGACTTTGTCAGATATGTGATATGAAAATGTTTGTCTCAGTTGGTAAGTTGTCTTTTTATTCATTTAGCAGGATCTTTCACAGAGCAAAAGCTTTTAATTTTGGTGAAGTTTAATGTATTAATTATTACTTTTACAGATCATGCTTTTGATAATAAGTCTAAGAACCCTTTGCCTAGTCCTAGATCTGTCTAGAAGTTCTGTAGTTTTGCATTTTACATTTAAGCTCATGGTCCATTTTGAGTTAATTTTTGTTCAAGGTATGAGTTTAGGTTGAGCTTTATTTCTTTGGCCAGTGGGTTACCAGTTATTCTAGCACCGTTTGTTGAAAAGGCTATCCCTCCTCCACTGAATTGCTTCTGCTCCTTTGCCAAATATCAATTGGGCATATGTGTTTGAATTTATTTCTGAATTCTGTATTCTGTTCCACTGATTTATATGTCTGTCCCTCTGCCAATATCACACTATCTTGATTACTACCGCTGTATAGTAAGTCGTAACAGGGAAAAATGATTCCTCTCACTCTGTTCTCTTTCAGAATTATGTTGACTATTCTAAGACCTATTTTCATATACGTTTTAGAATAAGCTTGTCTATGTCCACAAAGAAACTACTGAGATTTTAGTGGGAATTGTGTTTACCCTATAGATCAATTTAGGGAGAATTGACATTTTTACTACATTGATTCTTCCAATCTACAAACATGGTATGTTTCTTAAACTTTAAAAATTTTATTTCTTTCATCAGCATTTTTATAATACAATTACTCAATATTAGGTTTTGTTAAAATTTATACCTAAGTTTTTTTTTTGGAGCAAATTTTAAGTGGAATTTGATTTGTGAGCTTGTTTTTCACTTGTTCATTGTCAGTATATAAAAATGCAATAGATTTTTCTGTATTGATTTTGTATTCTGTGAGTTTACTAAAATCACTTATTAGTACTAGGGGCTTTTCATAGAATCCTTAGGGTTTTCTATGTAGACAATCATGGCATCTGTAAACAGAGATAGTTTTATTTCTTCCTTTCCAATCTTTACTTTGATTTTTACTTTTTTTTCCTTGCCTTGTTGAAGTGGCAAGAATGTCCAATCCTTTGTCAATAAGGTTGATGAGAGCAGGCCAGACTTGCCTTGTTCTCCATTTTAGAGGGAAAGCATTTAGTCTTTCACTGTTAAGTATAAAGCTAACTGTAGGATTTTTGTAGCTGTTATTTATGAGGTTGAAAAGGTTCCCAACTATATAAAAACCTGTTTTTTCATTTATTTGTTTTTTGAGACAGGGTTTTACTCTGTCACCCAGGCTGGAGTGCAGTGGTGTGATCATGGCTCGCTGCAGTCCCAGCCTCCCCTGACTCAAGTGATCCTCCCATCTTAGCCTCCAAAGTAGCTGGAACTACAGGCAGATGCCACCAGGCCCGGCTAATTTTTTTATGTTTTATAGGGGTTTCACCATATTGCCCAGGCTGGTCTTAAACTCATGGGCTCAAGCAATTTGTCCTCCTTGGCCCTCCCAAAGTGCTGAGATTACAGATGTAAGCCAATGTGCCCTGCCTGAGAATTTTTATTATGAATGGGTATTGAATTTTGTTGAATGCTTTCTCTGCATTAGTTGATATGATAGTAAAATTTTTCTTCTTTGTTCTGTTGATATGCAGATTACATCGATTCATTTTTATGTACTGAGCTAGCCTTTTATATCCCAAATGAATTTCAGTTAGTTATGGTATATATTTTTTTGTGCATTGTTAGATTCAATTTGCTAAAATTTTGTTGAGGATTTTTTGTTTCTAGGCCTTTGGGAGATGTTGGTCTATGGTAGTTTATTTAGTTTTTCTCTCGTGCTATTATTTTCTAGTTTTAGTATTAAGGTAATAATGACCTAAAAAAATTAATTGGTAAGTGTTGCTTCTATTTTTTGGTAGACACTGTATAAAATTGGTGGTAACTCTTCTTTGCACGTTTGCTAAAATTCTACAATGAAAGAAAATTAGCCTGGATTTTTTTTTTTCTAGGACTTTTTAATTACAATACCAATTTCTTAAATAGTTGTAGGACTGTTCAGCTTATCTCTTTCATCATGGCTGAGTTTTGGTAGCATGTGGTTTTGAGGAGTTGGTCCCTTTCTTCCAAGTTGTCACATTTATGAGAGTAAAATTGTTCACACTGTTTCCTGCCTATCTTTAAATGGCTGCATAATCTATTGTGACATCCTTTTTCTGTTTGTTTTTTTTCCCCTGATACTGATAATTTGTGTCTTCTGCTGTCAAATTTGTCAGTTTTACATGAGGTTTGTCAACTTTATTGACTTTTTTTCTTTTGAAGAACCAGCTTTATTTTCCTGTTTTCAATTTTATTGCTTTCTGGTTTTATTTTTACTATTTCCTTTGGGATTTATTCTTATATCAACCTACCAGCAGTTTTATGTCCCTTCCTCTTAAAATTTTTATTCTTTACCTTTTATATTAGTTTACATTATAGCATAAATTATATGTTAATTTAATTTTATAAATTTTTTGAATTTTGGAAGGCTTCTATAATCCCTTTCTTGGTATAAACAAGGATAAAAACAGTTTGTATTTTGTTTTTCCCTCGTATGGTATTAATAGGATATATTGTGAATATACTTATCTGTTTCACTGTGTGAAGCAAAAAGCATCACTTCATTATTATAGAGTATACCACTCTAGCTCAAAGAGTCTCCTTGTTATTATTTTAATATTGAGGCTTAAATTTGTACTCCTGAAGAAGTAGCTCCCATATTTTGTGTA